CGTGTGAATTGCACTTTTAAAACCTGCATTCCCACTAGGCCAGTGGTTCTCAACCTTCCTAATGCCATGACCCTTTAATACGGTTCCTCATGTTGTGGCCCCAACCATAAAATTATTTACCCAGTAATTATAATTCATGAGTCGTTTAACCTCCAATACTGCTGCTTTCAACACAGTAGCTGCTTTTAACAGAGTAGCTGCTTTCAACAGAGCAGCTGCTTTCTACACAGTAGCTGCTCTTTACACATCGGAAATATGTGTTTTCTGATGGTCTTAGGGGACCCCTGTGAAAGGGTCGTTTGACCCCCAAAAGGGTCGCGACCCACAGGTTGAGAACCACTGCACTATGCAATATATGAACCTAACCAGTCTGTCCTTTTAACCAAAACCATAACCCTTAACCTAACCCTAAACATTAACACTTAGATAAACTACCCTAATGCAGGCCATACATAAGTTGAATTCCGAACGATTTTTTTGTCCGACAATCGAAAACGTAGTTCGCTCGTTTATCAGATGGTGCCATCAATGATTTCAAAAATCAGCCGACCAAGTCATAAAGTTCACTCCATATAACAGGCGAAACTTCTGTTCCTTCCAGGTCACGGCTCATGCGCATATTCTTTTTGGAAAAATGATCGTACGATTTGACCATCATTGAGTTGAAAATCAGTCGTTTTTTTCATGAATTTTCCAATATTCCCGATCACTGAAAAGGGGAGGAACCATGAAAATCAGCCGGTGCCATTAACCCACTAAGCGAAAATCGGCTGATTATTCTTAGGTCCAATTTTCGGACGAAAAATCGGTCAAATTTAGACCCACGTATGGCTGACCTTACTCTTCAACTAATACTTACACCTAAAACACATGCTGAATGAAATCCCTAAACTGAAATTGTCAGGTCAATACTCACCATACTAGGCCAATACTTGGCACCCCCTCGTAACAGCTTTGCTAAGGATGGTGCTAGAATGATAACACCGAAAAGTATGCTTCCCACTTTGTAAGTCATTTCTGTAATTTTCCCCGACTGTAAAGCTGAGGAGTGTAATCATAATAGTAGGTGCAATGAAAACGAAACTAAACACAGCTGGTTAATAGAGGAATTATGTCGTTTTCAATCACAGGAGCTATAATAATTTCATGTGTCATTTTTTTGAAGCGCAAGAAGGTATCCGCTTCACCGACCCTGCATTTCACCAGCACATGGCAACGGCAAGCCTGGTTGGGACAGCTTCAATGTAAAGCAGCCTGGTTGTGTGCTGTATAGGGAGCTGGAAATTTGCTGACACAAGCTGGATCAAGGTCACAGTCAGGACAAGCTGCACATTGTCAGTGATGGAACGTGAGCTCAGGCCGATCTCTCTACACGCTAATATGAATAGTACCCTGCTGCTGACAGCCACACTGCTCTCTGTGTGTGCAGGGGGATCCTAAAGACCCCACGTTCCAGCACTGTGGGTGTATATCACTAGAAGATCATCGTTCCCCTGCATTCCACAATCCGGTGTGGGCATTTTAGTGGCCTGTTGAGAGGTGCCTGAAGTACACTGTACAGTATGGATGACAGGTCTGTGTCCACTCATGCATGATCTGATCTGATCCGCTAGATCAGGGGTCTCCAAACTGTGGCCCAAGGGCCCGATGTGGCCCTTTATACCTTTTATCCAGCCCCTGGGGCACTAGTCCTCCCACTGAGACCAACAATGGGGCAGTACTTCTTCCCTTGAAACCAATGATGGTGTATTATTCTTCCCACTAATACCAATGGTGGGGCACTACTCCTCCTCCTACTGACTAACAACCCTGAGGCCATGTTTATTCTCACTGATGCTGGGGGCAGAACATTTTCTATCCTCACTGGCCCTAATCCGGCCCTCCTAAAGTCTGAAGGACAGTATACTGGCCCTTTGTTTGAAAGGTTTTGGAGGGCCCTGCGCTAAATGAATGGTGAACAGATCCCGAGTCAACTGTTTTCAGCAGATCTGGACAATGGATGGTCATATCGGTTCCATCTGAAAAACGGGACAGGTGGACCCGATCAGTCCACCCGTGTGAAAGAGACCCAAGTCAGAAGGCAGGCTCTTTGAAATGTGTGACACAGCAGTGCCTACCCACAGTTAATTTGTGTCACAGAATTCCCAGAATTAAATGTGTGGGGATCATCGCAAGCTAAGTTTACAAACTTCAAGATCTTTCAGATTAATAGGAGTAGGCTAGAAATAATTGAAATACAATGTGGAAATCAATATAACAGTTTTACATTTTGACCAGAGATTTGTGTTAAGAAAAACAAACCTGCAGAAGGAGACACTCTCTTGTTCTGTCGCCCATTCCTCAGATCTACACACAGTTGTCAGCTATGGCCAATGGCCTTCACATTTGACACTTCAGGATGTGTCAGTTGCCAGCCCTCCTTCCACGCACTGTGGTTTCCATCCTTCAGCCCTTATACCTCTATAGCACGAGTGTCAAACTGTCCAGCTGTTGCCAAACTACAAGTCCCATGAGGCATTGCAAGATTGACTTTTACAAGCATGACTCCCAAAGGCAGAGGCATGATGGGACTTGTAGTTTCGCAAAAGCTGAAGGGCTGCCAGTTTGACACCCCTGATCCATAGGATATATTAGTGGGTTAGGTGCCAGTAGATGGATCCAGGCATTCAGCACTCCAATAAGGGATATATGTGAAAATTCTGCCGAGAGCTGTAGCTCTTAAACAGGAAAAGATGGGTGGCAGGACAAGTGGGTATAAAAGGTCTTCTGTAGCCATTTTTAAACAGCCACATGCTTGCAGAAGCACAAGCCTAGTGAACACGTAAACAAGCCCTTACCTATATTCCTGTTCAGTTGTACTGACAGAACTGTAATAAAAATAGCGGGCTCAGGAGGAAAAATAATCGACACCTGCTTGCTGCCACTAATGTTGGCGTATAGCTGTACAGTTATATACACATTTGGAGACACTCCCTCTATTGGTGATGTACGTGTCACTGCAGACACCAACACTTCCTGTTAAACAAATGAATAAAATAAAATCTCACAAATGTGGCTGCCCATACATATAGATAAAAGCAAAACATTATACCCATAAACAAGGGTTAACACACGAACTCAGGTTTTTCACATTAAGTATATCGCTTCTACCATCTATGTATTAAATCCCAATTGAAGTACCACACTTTTCTTATCTCTTTATATGTTGGCAGCACAGTGGCTAAATGGTTAGCACTTCCACCTGGCAGTACTAGGGTTGTTGGTTTGAATCCCAACCACAGCACCACCTGCCTGGAGTTTGCATGTTTTCTACGGGTCTGCATGGGTTTCCTCCAGGTACTTCAGTTTTCTCCCACACTCCAAAGACATGCTGGGAGGTTCCTGTCTAAATTGTCCCTAGTGTGTGTATGTATGAATGTGAGTTAGGGACCTTAGATTGTACGCCCGTTGAGGGTTCGGGACCTTAGATTGTACGCCCGTTGAGGGTTCGGGACCTTAGATTGTACGCCCCTTGAGGGTTAGGGACCTTAGATTGTACGCCCCTTGAGGGTTAGGGACCTTAGACTGTATACCCCTTGAGGGTTAGGGACCTTAGACTGTACACCCCTTGAGGGTTAGGGACCTTAGATTGTACGCCCCTTGAGGGTTAGGGACCTTAGACTGTACGCCCCTTGAGGGTTAGGGACCTTAGATTGTACGCCCCTTGAGGGTTAGGGACCTTAGACTGTATACCCCTTGAGGGTTAGGGGCCTTAGATTGTACGCCCCTTGAGGGTTAGGGACCTTAGATTGTACGCCCCTTGAGAGTTAGGGACCTTAGATTGTACGCCCCTTGAGGGTTAGGGACCTTAGATTGTACGCCCCTTGAGGGTTAGGGACCTTAGATTGTACGCCCCTTGAGGGTTAGGGACCTTAGATTGTACGCCCCTTGAGGGTTAGGGACCTTAGATTGTACGCCCCTTGAGGGTTAGGGACCTTAGATTGTACGCCCCTTGAGGGTTAGGGACCTTAGATTGTACGCCCCTTGAGGGTTAGGGACCTTAGATTGTACGCCCCTTGAGGGTTAGGGACCTTAGATTGTACGCCCCTTGAGGGTTAGGGACCTTAGATTGTACGCCCCTTGAGGGTTAGGGACCTTAGATTGTACGCCCCTTTGAGGGTTAGGGACCTTAGATTGGACGCCCCTTGAGGGTTAGGGACCTTAGATTGGACGCCCCTTGAGGGTTAGGGACTGATGTGAATGTACTATATATATGTAAAGCGCTGCGTAAAATGACAGCGCTATATAAGTACCTGAAACAATAATATGTCTGTTTTATTATTTGCAAATTTTTTAGGTTCATTTACCACTAGTACGGGCCGTGTGGCCTTTGTTTGCTCAGACACGGACGTGTCCCACACAAAAAAGGTGCATGCACCTTTTCAAAAATGCATCTGCAGGGAAACCACATGGTCTTTTTTTTTTTGGACCATGTGGTTTTCCTGTGGTTCCTGCACCCGTGATCCTGCTGCGGGCTGAGATGCATGGGGGTGCCATTTAGAATGAATGGAAGCCCCGCACGTCTCGCAAGAGCAGCGCAATTTGGATGCAGGTGGTTGCGGTTGCATTTCCTGCATCCGAAACCTGCCGGTAGGCTAATGTACACCCAGGGTAATAATACATTTTTCTTTGAACAAAAATACTAATTCCTGTCTTCACACTGCAGTGCTCTGTGCTGGCATAGCTGAGTATCAGCCACGCCCTCGTCACAGGTGTCCTTACACAGATCGTAGTGCAGAGGAAAAGACATTTGTGTCAGACCAAGATTGTTATTGAACGCTGATTACGGAGTGTACTCTGGTGCTATCAGACTGCAATTTTGGACACCCTGCGCAAGTCTAACAGAAAAGTGGAGGTTTGGCTATGAAAGTGCAGGTCCTTAGTACAATGTCTATGTGACTGTATATCCATTTCTGTGACTTCAGCTGGACCTTACAAGACCAGGGGCGGACTGACAACTCATGGGGCCCCCGGGCAATAGGGGATCATGGGGCCCCTGTGTCCTTGCCCAAACTCAAAAAAGCCTATGAAAAAAGGTACCAGGGGCATCTCATGGTTTCCAAATGGTCAGTCCACCCCTGTACAAGACTATAGTTTTTTATTTTCTTTCAGCAATCTAGAGGCTTAAGCAGAACTTCACTCTTTCAATAAACATATTTTAATCCTTTTGCTGCTATATCATTAGTAAATAGATAGGAAGGTATATTATATTTTCTTGTTTTAAACTTTTTAAAATTTCTTCAGTTACTTCCTGGTTTGCAGGCCTAGGCAAATGATGTCATACATCTCAGAAGTCTTCAGGAGAGGAGGAGGGGTTTTCTCAGCTAAATACATCCCCCTGCCTGCATGCCTGAGCTAAGGCCAAACAGATTCCAGGAAGTAAATGCTACATGAATCATCTGCCCTTACTCAAGATGGCCACGGCCAGAAATGCTCGGGGGGGGGGGTTCAAATTAATTTCCAACAAGGCATGGAGACGTGGATGGATGGGAGAGTTTACTTTAAATATTAAAAATGAATGAAATGGTGTTTTCGGTTTGTGGTGCTCAGATGCAGTGTAGTTACGCTAACAACTTAGTCCTTGTAGCTGTTTGAACTACTAATCCCAGCAGGCCATGCCAGGACTTGCATTTCCTTAGCAACCTGAGCAGTGCAGAATACCCGATGCTTTTGTTGGCGGACTATGTGACCTGCTGCTGGAGAGACATTTTGTGCAGCAGATTGACATATTCTGACAAGTTTATTACTGAAAGAGTTCATAAATAAATAGAGATCAGCAGTGCCTCCCAGTGCATTAGAAAAGCACAAACCATTTTAGTGTACAACAGCAGACAAGTGAGGCCGGAATATTTATTGTGATTGTTTTCCAGTAGATTTATTCTTTATAAATAGAAAGGAGGAAAGTGTCTCCATTATCTACAGTAGCCAATCACATAACAGTTGTCATCTTCGTAGTACAGGTTAGGCACAGCAATTAGAGTGATAAAAAAGACATTGAAATAAAACGTCTGTAGTACTAAAATCACACATTTTTCCCCCACGATTTTAATGTCCTTTGTATTTTTTTTTTTAATTACTATTATTCAATTACGTGTATAAAAAAAAAGAGACGGCTTTTTTGCCTTTAGGTCTTTTACACACGGGGGCTTCTGCTTGTATGTGAGAGTAATGAGGACAAGGGGGCACTCTTGACATCTGGAGGAAAAGAGATTTAATCTCCAAACACAGGAAGGTTTCTTCACAGTGAGAGCTGTGAAAATGTGGAATAGACTCCCTCAAGAGTTGGTTCTGGCCAGCTCAGTGGATTGCTTTAAAAAAGTCCTGGATTCTTTCTTGGATACACAGAATATAACTGGATACTAACATTTATAGGTAAAGTTGATACAGGGAATATCCGATTTTTTTTCCTGCAGGAGCAAATTGGATCGTGCTTTGCTGGGTTTTCTTCCTCTGGATCAACTGTGGGTATAGGATTATGACTTTTTTTTTTTTTCTTTAATGGTTGAACTGGATGGGCTTTTGTATTTTTTAAGCCAGACTAACTATGTATGTGACTATGTAACTATGAATGTGCACTACAAGCTTTTACAAAGCATCACTTTGCAGAAAGCTTTCAAGCTACGTTCTTGAAACTTTGAAAAACTCTTTGGCCCCAATATAGGGATGTTTAAAGGAGAAGTGTGGGAATGCAAAAAAAGCAAATGCACCTACTCACCTCTCTGCTGCACTATTGGTGTGATGCTGCAGCTGTCCTCTTTTGGCTCAGAACCTGAGAACTGAGTGATCACATGACCAGTGATCGCTCAGTTCTCGGTCTGCTTTTACTACAGAGTGGTGATCAGTCAGGTGTGCTGTGCTCCTCCGACTCTCACTGGAGCACCAGGCTGTGGAGGGGGGGCGGGTGTGGCTGTCTCAGGCTCTCATAGAGAGTGGCACATAGAGAGGCTAGGCAAGATGCCGATCAGCCATCTGGGTGGATCCCGACATCACTGTTGGGATCCTGCGAGAGCCTGAAGTGGCTATGTGAAGTCATCCAACAGCAGGCTTTTGCTCCCTGTTGGCTGCTTCTGGGTCACAGGAGAGCACAAGTAAGTGTATTCCTGTGACCCACAAAGAGAAGTACGGTCAAAAAAAAGGTGTAGCCATGCCTTTACTTTAAACATGCTGCGAGGGAGCTTTCATGCGTTCAGCTTATTTCAAGTGATGCTGAAGATTTATGAGATCTTTCCAAAAGCTTGATGCACATACCGCTCTAATACTGTATATGATCAACTCTGGAGGATTGATTCATTATGCAAATAGGCTGTTGACTTTGCAAGGGAAGTTGCACTTTGCAAGGATTGTTTCTAAGAGCTTTGTGAATGAGAGGTGACATTTTACATTTCAAAGAATACTCAACCAAGAAAAAAAAACAAAAACAGATGTTTGCTTGCACGTGATTTGGATCATGGAACTAAGCTATGGGGAAATTCACTTGCAAAGTGCAACTTCCCTTGTAAAGTGAACAGTCTATTTGCCTGGTGTACAAAGTCCGGGTGGGGCATTGGGTGTTCTCGCTCTGTTCTTCCTCCAGTTTTATTGAATACCTTGTACCTTGCTACCAAATGAGCACTGCAGTACAAATGATTGGTTCCTTGTGCTGCGTCAAATTCAGTTACTTACATTGCTTGTATTTAAAAAAATAAATGTAAAAATAAATGTAAAAATAAATGTAGTGATGTATTCATAAATACACAGCTGTGTCTTTATATTTGCTTGGTGTACCATATGCATCGGACTACCTAATGTCCTGATAGATTACTTCAAACCACTGTGCTGCAATGGTGTGTGCCAATAGAATGTAGGACATGCTGTGCTTTTTTCTGTGCAGTATGTTGCAGTACACCGCATCACAACCCGCTGCAGTGAATAAAGATGAATGAAATGTCATTTCAATAAAGTTGAAAAAAAAAAAAAGGAAAATGGTGCAATACGTCATTTATGGTGCATCAGCACCGCTCTCTTCAACTCTCAGCTCATATGATTTCAGCTGTATGCTTTTAGACTTGGTTCACACTATGTCCCGCATGTGAATCTAATGGGAATCGCACTGTATTCCTGTGCAATTCACATGGATTCAGTGCGGTGTGATTGGAGTCCATTCATTGTGAGTGGCCTATAGTTGCACCGCATCGCGCCAAAGACCTGTATGTAACTTTTTTGGAACCACAGTGCAGCCGGATCACATGGTTGTTTTGTACTACACGATCTGGTGCAGGCAAACTGCACCGAAAATCCATTTGGGGTGTTGTTAAGATTGCACTGACATCCTCTGCGGATCACAAGGGCAGTGCAGGAAATGCACAAGGATTGCGGCATTTCCTGCACTGCATAAGTAGGAACCTAGGATTACAGAAATATTGCTCTTTAGCATGTGAGGCTTCCAGTCAAATATAATTCCTACATGCAAATGCATGCTAAATCCACCTGACTTTCTTTCAGACCAGGGGCGGACTGACAACTCATGGGGCCCCCAGAGCAATAGGGGATCATGGGGCCCCTCTGTCCTTGTCCAAACTCAAAAAAGCCTATGAAAAAGGTACCAGGGGCATCTCATGGGGCCCCCTACTGACCCCAGGGCCCTCGGGCAGTGCCCGAGTTTCCAAATGGTCAGTCCGCCTCTGTGACGGCCTACCTAAACAGTCCGTTCAATGGCTTCCAACCAAGCAAGATCTTGTACTACCAGGGGCAGGCTGACAACTCATGGGGCCCCCAGGCAATAGAGGATCATGGGGCCCCTCTGTCCTTGCCCAAACTCAAAAAAGCCTATAAAAAAGGTACCAGGGGCATCTCATGGGGCCCCCTACTGACCCCGGGCCCTCGGGCAGTGCCCGAGTTTCCAAATGGTCAGTCCGCCCGTTTCAGACATCAAAGTCGCACACCATACACCTTTCCAACAGCAGAACAACCAAAAATGTACACATTCCTTCACATTTAAGAAAACTCTATCTTTTTGTTTCTATTAAGGCATTTTACTTAGGGCCCGTTCACACTGACGTGCTTAATAACGCAGTATGCATTTTGCAAAAATGCATATTACGTTTTTAACAAATTTTTAATTCATTGCATTAACATTTAACACAACACACATGCATTTTAGATGTGCTATGCAAGTATTTTCATCCCTAGTCAACTGAAAAAAAAATGCAGTCAAAAATCGCACCACAGTGCATTTTTGGTGTGTTTTTCATAAGTTCCCATTGACTTCTATGGGAGATGCATTTTTCGTGTGCTTTTACAAACAAAGCACCTAAGATGCAGCATGCGGGACTTTTAAAAACACAACACACTTGCAGCAGTTACAGAGGATTTAAAGGAGACAGTTTTTTATGGACTTTTGTTGTACTTTGACTCAGCAAAAGTTCATCAGCATGAACAGGGCCTTATACATCCGATACTCAAAGATAATAAATGAGAAATAAGCAATAAATCACATCACAACTCTTTACACTCTTCACACTGATGCAGTACGGCACACCGCATATGATTCGCACTGGAACCGCACCACATAACTGTGCAAGTCACATGCGATTTCTGTGCGGTGCGATTTGAGCTATACATTTTGTGTGGCACAAATCGCACCGCATCCACAACAAAAAAAGTGCAGGACCCTTTTTTTTTGTCCGCACCAGAATCAGATCGCATAGGCGTTCACACCCACACAATCTGATTCTGCACATCGCACCGCGTTTTGTGAACTGCTTTCGGGGTGTCGTTAACTTAAAATACACACCCGCAGCGATTCGTATGATTGGTGTGCGATTATGATGCGGTGATCGCACAGAAACCGATGCAAATTACGCACCGCATCAGTGTGAACCCGGGCTTAGCGTCAGTCTCTGAACCCCAGTCATGTGTATTGTCTGAGCAAACATTTGTTTTATACAGCAGTATTCAGAAGAGTGAAACAGGTGAGAGCCTGTCATTTCCCATATCTGTACTATAAGAAAAATGAAAATAAGAAAATAGAAAATGAATCGGCTAAGAAAACACGGGGGGGGGGGGGATATACTGAGTGTAGATAGAATCTGGAGCAGCTGTACATGACAGCCAATCAGCTTCTAGCTTTCATTTGCAAAAGATACCTGAACAAGACTAAGATAGAAGCTGATCGGTCCCCATGAACAGCTGCTCCAGATTCTGTCTTCTCCAGTTTTAGTAAATTTCTCCCCAATGTGTCCATCAAAAATTATTTGCAGAATGACCGTTCGTTGGTCTGTCTATGTATGGACCGCATAAACAATCCAGTCACTTGCTTTTATGTTAACCCCTTCATGACGGAGTAAAACAAATCCAAATTCCTGAACACAGTTTTGCAGCTTTGATATGTGAACTGTACATCACCAAAACTACTTAGTGTGTCCAGGTGGATTATACTTTTTTTTCAGGACAAATTGGGCTTTCATTTGGTGGTGAATGGTAATTGATATTGTTATTATTACAGCTACTTATATAGCGCCATCAATTTGCGCAGCGCTTTACATTTATATATTGCACATTCACATCAGTTCCTAACCCTCAAGGGGCGTACAATCTAAGGTCCCTAACCCTCAAGGGGTGTACAATCTAAGGTCCCTAACCCTCAAGGGGCGTACAATCTAAGGTCCCTAACCCTCAAGGGGCATACAATCTAAGGTCCCTAACTAAGGTCCTCAAGGGGTGTACAATCTAAGGTCACATTCATACATACACATACTAGGGCCAATTTAAACAGGAGCCAATTAACCTCCCAGCATGTCTTTGGAGTGTGGGAGGAAACTGGAGTACCCGGAGGAAACCAACGCAGGCACAGGGAGAACATGTAAACTCCAGGCAGGTGGTGCTGTGGTTGGGATTCAAACCAACGGCCCTAGTACAACCAGGCGAAAGTGTGAACCATTTAGCCACTGTGCTGCCCTTATCTACTGTTTTTTTTATCAAAAGAAAATTGACACAACATAGTACAAAAATATCTTTTTTTACATTTAGCTGTGTATTTATTGCTATTACGATAGCCAACAAACAACCTAAAATAAATTCTCCAGCTCCTGACGATTGCAGAGGTACCACGTGTATTTAATCCTTCCAAAAACACACTGACACTAGCTGACAATAATACTGTTTTTAAAAAAGCTTTTTTTTTAATCCTACCCTAAATACACTGACTCTGACCATGACCTTTGACCCTATTTTATCTTTTTTTTTTTTTTTTCTGTTTTTAACACACACTTTGTTTATAATTTTTCCCCTCCAGCAAGTATCACCTACAGAGAACAATGGTAGTCTTAGCTATTACCCCCACCCAGGGGCGGACTGACAACTCATGGGGCCCCCGGGCAATAGGGGATCATGGGACCCCTGTGTCCTTGCCCAAGCTCAAAAAAGCCTATGAAAAAGGTACCATGGGGCATCTCATGGGGCCCCCTACTGACCCCGGGCCCTTGGGCAGTGCCCGAGTTTCCAAATGGTCAGTCCACCCCTGCCCCCACCTATAGCTTTAGCAATCACCTCTCTTACTTCGCACAAAGCACTGTGTATTCTGATATTCAAAGTAATCCCTGATCCTATCCCCACAAAAAACATGCAGGTTTCAACAACCTTTTTCTCCATTCAAGAGGAGAAAACAACACGGGCGAGCTATACAGTGACTGATCACTGTGATTGCCAATCAGAAGCTACCACAGGAATCATGTAATCAGGACCCCCCCCCAGGTCTCTCAGTTCTTGACTGTTTTATGGGACCTGGGATTCCCAGTGAGGGCCTGGTCTCTGTGCTGGGAGCACGCAGCACAACACAAACATGAATTTGCATATATGCGTACCCACGGATATGGCCCCGCTTCCGTGAGGCCGCATATTTATTATTTATTTCAGCGTACTTATATAGCGCATTCGTCAATTTACGCAGCACAATCTTACATAAGGGGCGTATATTGTACATTCACACAATCAGGTCCCTAACCCTCAAGGGGTGTACAATCTAAGGTCCCTAACCCTCAAGGGGGGTACAGTCTAAGGTCCCAAACTCACATTCATACATCCAACCCTCAAGGGGTACTAGGGCTAACCCTCATTACAGACATGAGCCAATTCACCATACTACCAGCATGTCTTTGGAGTGTGCGAGGAAACCGGAGTACCCGGAGGAAACCCACACAGGCACAGGGAGAACATGCAAACTCCAGTCAGGTGGTGCTGTGGTTGGAATTCGAACCAACGACTCAAGCAGGCGGAAGTGCTAACCTTTTAGCCGCTTGGCTGCCCATATTTGTGTACAATCTTCAGCAAAGGGTTAAAGAAGCTGACTTTTATGATTTAGCCCTGGTTCACACTGAATGCAGCTTTGAAATCACGCTATTTCAGCTGAAGTAGCGCTATTTCAAAGCCACCGGTCAGTGCGATTTCATGTTCGGCTTGCTGACACCTCTCCGACTTCATGCAAAGATATCAATGCAAGTCGCACATGAAATCGCCAAAAATAGTGCAGGAACCTTTTTCAAGATCGGTGCAAGTCGGAGTCGCACCGACTGGAACGGTTCCATAGGCAAAAATAGGGTGCAACTTGTCATGCGTTTTTTGAACTGTCAAAACGCATGACAAATTGCATTGGTGTGAACAGGGGGGCTTACACAAATGTCTTTCATCTAGCCTCAGAAACAAAAAAAAAACAATACGACCTGATAGTTTGTCACTCGCAGGTCTTAGGCAGTTCCATGTTGGTCAGTTTCCCTCCACAGAGGTCAGCATATGCACTGATGCTGTGACCGAGAACTGCCTTGGATAATAATGCCAGTCCATACACCAAGGTAAAGATGGGTTCTGGCTGAGGATAAGAGGAGAGTATTTGGGGTGGGGGGGCTGATTAATATGTATGTACTGTTTAATAAGTAAAAAACTTTGTTATATTGAGGAGATCTTTCTTCACTTCCTGTCCTGTAATTACAGCCAGAAAAAGAAAATTTCTCCCATCTATTTCTGGAGAGGGGAATTCCTGAGCTATAAAACACATTTCTGAGGCACCACAGCTCTCCTACTCATGCTATGGTCTGCACCTTTCTGTTCTACTCGGCTACCTATAGACCACCCTTCACACTCTGCACCCAGTGGGGGTACAAGAGGAGCAGAATAGGGTACAGCACACCACAACCACAGCAGCTGCTTTCTCATAATGAAGCACTGATGATTTTTGGGGTACTGAGACACGGTGGGGGAGATTTACCAAAACCGGAGCTCAGACAAATTTGTGCAACTGTTCATAGTAGCCAATCAGATTCTAATTCAGCTGTCCGATGATTCTTTGACAATAACATCTAGTAGCTGATTGGTTACTATACACAGCTGCGTTAGATTCTCTATGCTTCAATTTTAGTATATCTCCCCCGGTATGGGAAGTCCTGCCGTTGGAGTCATAGTGATTACAAGACCACAGGTTCACTTTAAGGACCAGTTCACACGACATGCGTTTCAGTTGCTTTTTTTCTGCATCCAAACTGCACAGAAAGTAGGTGATGTGGTTGTCAGTGTCACAGTTCACATCAGTGCTTGCAGTTCCAGTGCGTTTCGGTTGCGGAAAGAAAAGTAGCACAGGCTGCATTTATTCTATACAGAACTGTACTGGAATGTGGTAAAGTGCATCAAAAATGCACTGGAATGCACATGTTCCTATTTAAATTGAAGAAAAAAAAGAGGGGGAAAAATTAACTGGAATGCATAAAAAAAACGCACAGGAACGCATCAAAAACGCACATGCAGAAACGCATCCGGAACGCATCTGGACTGGGTTTCAATAGTGTGAACCGACCCTCAATACTCTTGGTCAGATTATAAATGTATAAAAACAAACAAACAAAAACATTTTTGAAATAAACCTCTTAAAGCCATTAAATGATTATCTTAACACAGTCTCAAATGTTATGTTTACATTTACATTTTGTATGTGAAAATATTTCTTTTTACGGCTTGATATTTTTCGTGGTACCACGTTTGTCTTAAGGAAACCCCGATGCTTCTGTACAACCCCCAGGCACATCATGGAATCCATGACACTCCGGTATCTGATTATCCATTTGCAGGCTGCACTGCAGTGCTGAGGTTCTCCCTCCTGCAATACGACGTGCACATTTTCCAGGCTGAGTCAGCACTATTTTTTTTTTTTTTTTAATTGGATGATTTGCGAATAACATTTTCAATTTATTCTAAAACAGTGGAATTCATTAAACCCACTCACTGTCTCTTCTATCACCTCACCCAATAGACAAAATTAAATGAATTACTCTTGCCCACCTAGTTAACATCCAAGCAGGGCACAGCATTATATTTAGCCATGGTGTAAACAACGAAAATCCTTTGGTGGCTTTTGCCTTTGGCTTTTAAGAAGAATTCCACTGAGCCTTGTGTAGACGATAAACAGGCTAACTAGCCTCAAACCCAATTGGCCTGATTTTATGTCTATATGATTGGTAAGATATTAAATTGCATTGAGTGTTAAAACATACGCAAGAGGTTCGGTGTCGTACTGTAATAAATAATATCGTGTAAAAAAAAGAAATGGTGTAACGAATTCAGCAGTATTATTTACTATATATATATATATATATATATATATATATATAGATAGATAGATAGATAGATAGATAGATTTTTTTTTAATATATACATATATATATTTCTATTTATATTATATATAAATATATATATATATATATATATATATATATATATATGATTGTATGATTCTTGGGGGGCAAGGCTGACTTGTACGGTTCAATATGTTTTAAAGAAAATCAGGTAAAATAGGTGGGTAACGCTTTCTGAGCCAGTCAACTGAAAAATTAGGAAATGAGTGTAGAAACGTTCCTGTCAGGCCTCTTTCAGGTTCAGAAAAGATAAAAGGTTTTTTTTTTTTTTTTTGGTCTTGTTTTAGTGTTTGTTTTATTTATAAGTTATATTATATGGGTATGATCATTTTTTTCAGTAGCGATAGATTGGATTTTTTTCTTACATAAGAATGATTTAAGATGTTATATGGATACTTATATTTCTGAAAGGTTTATAATTATACTGACAATTAACTGTAATTGTAAAGAGAGATTGGATTGTCTGATTGTTGGTTTTGTAAAAACAAATAATGTCTAAAAATTAATAAAAATTATTGAGAAGGAAAAAAGGTGTATTTTCACTGAGTGCATCATCTGAATTACTGTGCTAAAACATGCATGTTACTACAATACAAGTACTGTGGTGTGCATTGCAGTGCATCCCAAGCACTAGTACAGTAGTGAGCAATGTACTCACACAGCAGTGTACCACACTGCACCACAACACTGCTGTGAAAACATTATTATTATTATCATTATTATTATACAGGATTTATATATTATTATTATGCAGGATTTATATATTATTATTATACAGGATTTATATATTATTATTATACAGGATTTATATACTATTATTATACAGGATTTATATATTATTATTATTATACAGGATTTATATATTATTATTATTATACAGGATTTATATATTATTATTATGCAGGATTTATTATTATTATTATACAGGATTTATATATTATTATTATGCAGGATTTATATATTATTATTATACAGGATTTATATAGCGCCAACAGTTTGCTCAGCACTTTACAAAACATTGTATTTTACTTAGATTTTTTTCACTATCTGAACCTTGGAGAAGGGGTTATATATATTGGGGCAACACAGTGGCTAAATGATTAGCACTTCTACCTGGCAGTACTAGGGTCGCTGGTTCAAATCCAGGCACCACCTGCCTGGAGTTTGCATGTTCTCCCTGTGTCTGCATGGGTTTCCTCCAGGTACTCAAGTTTCCTCCCACACTCCAAAGACATGCTGGGAGGTGAATTGGCTCCTGTCTAAATTGGCCCTAGTATGTGTATGCATGAATGTAAGTTAGGGACCTTAGATTGTACGCCCCTTGAGGGTTAGGGACCTTAGATTGTACGCCCCTTGAGGGTTAGGGACCTTAGATTGTACACACCTTGAGGGTTAGGGATCTTAGATTGTACACCCTTGAGGGTTAGGGACCTTAGATTGTACACCCCTTGAGGGTTAGGGACCTTAGATTGTACTCCCCTTGAGGGTTAGGGACCTTAGATTGTACGCCCCCTTGAGGGTTAGGGACCTTAGATTGTACACCCCTTGAGGGTTAGGGACCTTAGATTGTATTGTACGCCCCTTGAGGGTTAGGGACCTTAGATTGTACGCCCCTTGAGGGTTAGGGCCCTTAGATTGTACACCCCTTGAGGGTTAGGGACCTTAGATTGTACACCCCTTGAGGGTTAGGGACCTTAGATTGTACGCCCCTTGAGGGTTAGGGACCTTAGATTGTACGCCCCTTGAGGGTTAGGGACCTTAGATTGTACACCCCTTGAGGGTTGGGGACCTTAGATTGTACGCCCCTTGAGGGTTAGGGCCCTTAGATTGTACGCCCCTTGAGGGTTAGGGACCTTAGATTG